TCCTTACATGAGATTCTTGGGAGATATACTTTGATGATGTTTTATTGTGACATGTTTTGATTATTGACATTTTGGTTTTGTTATGGGATGACACGATGAATGTTTTTAATACTAATGGTTTATTTATTACTTATTTAAAAATAAAAAATTTGCTCTTAAATTTTGGGATATATATATATATATATATATATATATATATATATATATATATATATATATATATATATATATATATATATATATATAATCAGGTTCTCTTGAGAACCAAAAGATTTGTGAGAACTTACGAACTCGTAATCAACTCATCATTTTTCAACACAAAAAATATCAATCTTCTCCAAATGGTGCATCCAAGCCATATTTAGGCTAAAAAAGATTTGACGATTTTTTCAATTTTGAGTAAATCTGGTTACAAATATTGTATGGTCTTGATCGATAATTTCACTCATTATGTATGGGTGTACCCATTAAAATATAAATCAGAAACCTTTATCAATTTTTCCAAATTTGATCAGCTTATCTCAACCTAATTTAACCGTAATATCAAAACCTTTCAATGCAATCTAGGTGGAAAATTTTATAATCATAACTTCAAAACTTTTGTTGCAACACATGGCCTTCCTTTTTGCTTTTCTTGTCCCTGAACCTCCCAACAAGATGGTCGGGCCAAACAGATGCTTCGTCTCTTAAATGACATCATCCGCACTCTTATAACTCATGCTCATTTAGGTAGTGTTTGTTTTTTGTCTGCAGATCTGCGAGACGTCTTCTATCTGCGCCGCGCAGACCACGCGCAGACATTAGTCTTCGCAGACTGTTTGTTTTTTTGAAGACTGCAGACCTAAAAATGTATGCGCGCCCTCTTCTTGGCGCAGATGTGGACCAGAGTCTTCTAACATCTTCAGACATCTTCTAGCTTAAAAAAACATATATATCTTTATTTTTTTAAAGTTTTTTTTTTTAATTTATATTTTTTCCAACTTTATTAATGATAAACAATATGAAAAAAAAATTACAAAACTTAAAAAAAAAAACATTTGACGATACAAACATGATATTTTTAACAAATTTATAAATAAAAATTTATTATAATAATATTCGTTGAAGTTGTTTATATAAATATGAAAAAAAAAATCATAATATATTCTTATATTTTTTTGCCAAAATTTTGTAAAACTTTATTTAGTAGAGTATCATCAATTTCTCGAGAAAATATTTATCGTACGTTTTTAATAGATTTATTTGAAAAAATCGAAGTTTATTTCCATCTATTTATGTATCAAATTCTTTGATCACTAATTATAATGTTTAGTTATAACTTTGCAATCAAAGTTGTTGGTTTTTATCAAATATGTATATGAATTAATACCATTTTTATTTTTATTTTTTATATAATAATACATAAAAGTTGATCTAGATTCGTTATATATTTATAATAAAGTCGTAAAAATATATAAAAAATTCGCTTTGAAGTTTTAAAAAATCAGTTTATTTAGATTTCAGTTTATTTTAATAGCCCGCAGATGTTAAAAAAACAAACAGTTTTCTTTTTTCAGACTGCAGACGTTTGGTCCACCTCTTCTACTGCAGAGGTCTACAGATATAGTCCGCAGACTGCAGACATTTTACCTCAGAAAAAACAAATAGCACCTTACTCCCTCAATTTTTGGTAGAGGCTCTATACACCAACACTTATCTTCACAACATATTACCCACCAAACACCTACATTTTTCAACCCCACCTTTGCTCTATTTGGCCGACACCCTACATATTATCATTTACGTGTGTTTGGTTGCACATGCTACCCAACCAAATAAACTCCACCCTCATTCCCCCAACTGCATCTTTCTTGGGTACCCAGAAAACTTTAGGGGATACCATTGTTACTACCCATCCTCCGACAAACCACTACTTCAACACTCCCAATCCATAGCCCCATACCTACTGCCACTCCCTCGCCAAAATCTACCATGAATTCGACTCCTTTCCAACAACCAACATCCCCACCTACAATCACTTATACTCGACGTCACTAACCCACTCAAACTACGCATCCCCTTGCACCATCCCAACTACCTTCACTACATGCAAACACGTTTAAAAACCGGTTCTACCAAACTAGTCACTCGCCTCAGTCTTCATGTATCCACCAACCCAAACAAGTTATCTCCCTTACCCGCCTCTTACAACCAAGCCTCCATAGACCCTAATTGGAAACTTGCCATGGAAAATGAATATAGAGCTTTATACGAAAATAAAACATGGGGCCATCGATTGACCCGTCATTCGGTGCATGTGGCTCTATCGCCACAAATTTAGATCGGATGTCACTCTTTACAGGTACAATTACAAAGTACAGTTGGTTGTCAATGGTAAATCACAAACCGTAGGGGTAGATTGCACGGAAAGCTTCGGGTATTGTGTATTTTTGGGGAATAATTTAATTCTGTGGCTGTCAAAATGACAACCTATCGTCTCTCGTTTGAGTGCCGATGCAGAATATCGGGGAGTGTCTGATGGCGTTGCCGAAACTACATGGCTCCGTAACCTATTACTCGTGTTATATGTTCCCTTTAAAGACAAATACCATCATATTTTGTGACAATGTCTCTGTCGTCTACCTATCAGATAATCTGGTTCAACATCAACACATGGAATTCGACATTCACTTTGTTCGGGAAAAGGTTCGGCTAGGTAAAGTCCGGGTGCTTCACGTTCCTTCTGCTTTACAATATGCAGACATTTTCACAAAGGAATTGCCTCGACAGCTTTATCAAAATTTTCGTTCCAATTTGAGTGTTCGTTTACCTACAGTTCAAACTTCGGGAGAATATTAGAGACCGACTCAATATAAAGGGTTTTAATAATCAATACAGGGATCGATTCCTTCCACCATCATCTACTTTCAGGTTTCATTTATATGAAAAGGAGTCAATGGTTGGTAACAATTTTTAATCCTAAGAGGTTTTTTTTGAACAAGCAGAACAATTTATCAATAAAAAGAAACATGAGAAGGAAGCTGGAGATATACAGAGTAGTTTACATGTAAAAGAAACAAATATACGAGTAACACACACCACAGCCAGAATCACAAAGCTAAAAACAAGAAAACACCAAAGTTAAATGTAGAACCAATTGAAGCACAACTGAGGTTAACTGAATCCAACAAGGACCAAAAGATGCTTCCTAGTTAAAGAAACCAATTTGAAAGCAGAACCAACTGTAGCAACTGTGAGGTAGCTTTTGAGCAAAACCATGTAGAGATTCATTGAGTTGGGGAGCAACACCAGAAGAAGAGATTGAAGCATCTTCATCATTCATTCTATAGCAACAACAACCCCACTAGCGACAGGGGCAAATATGTCCAACAACAGTTGTGTGATCATCATCAACTCATTGTATTTAACTGATTCAGTTTCACGATTCCTCCAAATACTAGAATTACTGGAAGAGGAGATGCTCCCCAGGAAATCCAGTCAAGATTATTGATTTTTCCCCTGTTTTTACAACCCACCATCATTTGGCTAAAAGTGAAATATTGAAGTTCCTCAAGCACCCAATGCGAAGCCCTCCTCTATCTTTAGGGGAGATTACTCTTTTCCAATTCACCCGATTGAAGAAAGTTCCTTCTCATTTTAAGTTTAAGAAGAATGTACAAGTTGTTAACACTAGTTTCAATATTGTAAAACTACAATTAATGAAACTGTATTTTAAGTTCAGAAAAAAAAAAAAAAATAGATTTTTTTATGTAGTTTTCCAGATTTTAAAAAATAAACATTTGTTTATAGACTACAAACTTTTAGACTAGACTTTTTTTTTTTTTTTTCTGTAAATATGAAAAAAATAATGCAGGAATTTGATCCCTTAAAAGAGCTATTTACTAAAATGGTAAAACGCTAAAAAATCAAATAATTTTTCAGTAAGTTACCATTAGAGACGTGCTAACTTTATTGAAGAAGAATCTCATAGGCCATAACCAGATTAATGAAATATAGCCAAATAATAATTCCTACAGTAATTTGTGTAACTGTCCCTTATTATATTTTATAATAAGTATCAACTTTCATGTTCGTTTGAAATGAATTCCATGTTTCATGTTTGATGGATAATTGGATATCGCCATTCCTAGAGGAGGGCAAATGGATCTCTTGTTTTTCTATTAAAAGACAAAAATACCCTCGCTACATATCACGATATAATGTAAGTAACTTTTATTTTAGATGAAATTTTGAAAAATCATTAAAAAAATTTATAAAATTTGATCGACTTATTTCCAACCAAATGTGTGAACGATTACAATTCATTCATATTTTAATTCCTTTAACACATTTCATCTCTTCCAAAAGGACATGTGAACAAAACATTCCCTAAATTTCTCGATCTACGAGTCCCGAGTACTTGTCAAAAAGAAAATAGAAAAGGTGCAAAATCAAAGTTAAATGCTAAAAGAGCAACGTACTTTTACTTATTTGTTTTTTATAGCAACCTACATTCATTTCTTCATTGTAAAAATGCTGTATTTTGAAGAATTTACACAAATGTGACAATGTCATCCAAATATAAAATGATTTTTATTGCTATAATGTGGTAGATTACTCAAATAAAAAAATAGACAGCACCATTTTCTTTTTGGTTAGTTTTTTTATGAGTACAATGCATTTATAACAAAAAATAAATGAAAGTATGTTGTTAGTTTTCATTTTAAACTAATAAAATACCTTGTTACTTTCCTGGTATTGATAAAATAGCTTAGTGGACGAATCATCAACCATATGAAAATATATTGTGCTATTCATCATTTTATATCGAAATCAAAACGGATAATTCAAAATAAACATTCTTAATCGGGATAAGACCCATTTTTTAACATGATAAAAGTGTGATTATCTATTTATCTGAAATGTCCATAAAAGAACAACATTTTTATTGTATAACGGAGTACTAATAAATACATTATTTGTGCATGATATATCTACTCCAAAAGTAATTTAAATACTCCTTAACCACCACATTGGATCTTTTCACGATCACGTGAGTTACTTATCGCCAGCCACGTGCAATCCTCAAAGGAGCATTTTTCCTCACCTTTTGGCCACTCAACGTCCTTCGGCTTCATAAACTTAGGACCCCAACATGGCGTCCCATCTTCATACGAGTTATGTGTCAATCTGGTCAACTCTGAACCATCCAATTTCATAGTAAATATGTCTCCATACGGTTGATAGTGATGTGGATTGGATATCGGTTCTGCTGAAACAGCCGCATAATCCGAAGTGAATACAATGTACTTTCCATCTGGACTGAACCACGGGTGGTTCGTACGTCCAGACGAACCACTATGGATCAGTTGTCGAAGCCCGGTCCCATTTGGGTGGATCATATACAGCGCGAAACTACCTGAACCAGGGTTATGACGGTCTGACGCAAATGCAATGTGATCCCCATCTGGGGACCAATTACACATTGTGTCAGACCATGGTCCATTGGTCAATTGAGTTAGACCACCTTTTTCACCTTCAAGGGCGTTCATGATGTACAAGTTCTTATGGCCCGATCGACCCGATCTGAAAACGATATATTTTCCATCGGGTGAAACGGATGGAAACGCATTGTTTTGTCCACCGAATGTGAGTTTAGTAAAAGTCGGTTCATCTTTATCAACTTCTACTGCGAATATATCAACGTCTGTCGCCTCACTCGCAAAGGTGGGTCCGATGCTTGTGTAGACCACACCTTTGTGCGTGGGGTTCCACGCTATTGAAAATGCAGTAATATCCGGGGGCAATCTCTCGATGACCCGACCCGTCACTGTTAACCACGTAAAGACCCGGTAAACGCACATAAGCGATTTGACTTCCGTCGGGTGAAAATGAAGGAAATGATCCATCGATTCGGAATAGGGAAATCCGGGGTTTTGGGGTTTGGATATTTTCAAGAAACATGTCATTATTTATCATCTCACTGTTGCTTCCCGACCCTCTACATTTGTGATAACCGACCCGGGATGAATCTGGTGATAAAATGGGTTATAGTGATTGGCCCGTGGAGCAATTGACCGGGTCAAGTCTTTAAATGAACCAGAAACGATGTCGTACAGCTCTATATGACGGTAATCTGAACCGGGTCTCCTGGTTGCTACTGCAATAATATTCTTCTTGGTTACTGAAGCAGCCGGGGTGAACGCGTGGAGACCCGGTGGAGTGACTCGTTGAGTCGTCACCGAGTTAACCGTGAAGGGCTTATTTTTTGGAAGAATCGCGATATAAATGCTCCACCACCCCATCATCACTCTGCCGGTGGAAGAACAATGTTGACTCGTCTGACCAACTCGGCCAACCACCGTGCTCCACCACCTTGACTCGTCTTGACCCGTCCTGAGTCAAGAAAACATATATATCCGTATCGAGTTCCTGCACCTCCCCACCCCAACCTTTTTCTCCGGAAGAAGCCACCGCCGTCCACAAACCCGACGGAGACACAGCCGGGCTGAAATCGGCTACTCCTTGAGGTGTTAACCGGCGAGTTACCTTGGTTGACAGCTGAGTCGAGTAAACCGCAGCCCAACTCGTCCGACCCACACCTGTTTCCTCATGAGTCGACACGTATACCAAGAAATCACCCACCAGACTCGGCCTATCTTTCATCGAAATCCGTCCGCCGCTGCCTCCCACGAGACGGTGTTGGTAACGAGTTAACTCAGCTTCAAGGACCGAACGTTTTCTGGTGCTGTCCACACCAGAGTGATAAATTGAGTCCAGATAGATGGAGGATGATCCGTTGCGTTCAGTGACATAGACGAGGTGGGTGGATTGTGGGTCAACAAAGGTAGGATTAGTTATGGGATTCCCATTAAAGGAAGAGGCGAAGTAGCCATTGAAATTGACGGAGTTGCCATCGGTAAGTTGGATTTCAGTGCCGGTCGTGTCAATTGGGAGGGAGAATATATCGAATGCATACCTTGATCGGCCGAGCGTAGTGAAGATGATGCTGGTAGCAGGGTCAGCTGCGATCGAGTCGTTGATGAAGAAGATGACGAGGAAGATGATAAGATGCGGGGATTTCATGTTTGGGATTCGCACTTAGCAGTGGGCAAGTGACAGTGGGAATAGTGTAATAGTGGCCATCTTATCCGAGAGGAATTATCTGGTTCTAATAAATTTGTTGCATAATAATGGAGTAATATCAACCGAATATTATTGATTTTTCGGTTTTTAGGTAATTAATTTGTCATGTCACAACCATTTATTTCCCTTATAAATATCATGTTGGACACCAATAAGAATTTTTACTTTTTTAACGCTTTGATTGTATATAGGTACTCTTAGGTAGGGGTATTTTCATTTTTTTTAGGTACATCCTGTCGTTCTCAAAACATATTATCATTTAATTTAATTATCATTTTAAGGAATAAGTTCAAAAAAACTAAAGAGAACAAAAATAGGCTACCTTTTTGGAGAAATCCGATTAAATGAACCCAACCAGAAACAGAAAATTCTTTTACGAGAAGGTGTATTATACTATTATATTTCCTTCCATATTAGATATCGATAGAATCCATCCCCCATGGTCTAAACTCTAAACTCTAGTTCTCGAACATCATCCAAGAGGGGTAACACTTTGTCTCTTTTGTTTATTTTGCAGAAATTTTACCTTACTTCTATCCTACACAATTGTATTGCAGTACTATCGTCTTGTTATTCATCATCCCCAATCTCCATCGTCGATATCGCTTCTGGATCTGTAAGAAATTATCGTGTTTATAAAATGTAATCCCAAGTCTCCCACCCCGCCTTGAATCAGTTCTTGGCAGGATTCTTCCTCTAAAAATCATCCCCCCACACACGAACACGATAAGTATGAACATGAACATGGGTTCAACAACAGCTCAGCAGAAGAAAACCCTACACTCGATGCTAGCAAGCAAGCTCAATAACCTCACAATTCCGCCATCATCAACTGATCAAGACTTCGATTTTGCCGATGTATTTGGCCCTAATTCATCATCTTCAACTAATCCTAATCCAAACCCTAACCTCTTCATAGGGGATCCCCAAATTATCCACAATCGATCCCACTCCTTCATTGGCCCTTCCCCTCGTTACACCCTCTCCAAATCCCTTGCTTTTCACCATGAGTTTGATCTCGAGAGCTCCGGAGAAGACGACGATCTAATCAAAGTCGAGAAAGAGGAGGAATATGATGTTGAAGGGAAGGGTAGACTGGATTACAAGATCGTGCCTGGGGATTTTGAAATAATGAGGGTCATTGGTAAAGGGTCTTTTGGCAAGGTATTCCAGGTGAGAAGGAAGGATAGGAGCGTGATTAATGGTGAGGGCGAGGCTGTGATTGGGGATGGGATATTCGCCATGAAAGTTATGCGGAAGGACACAATCATAAAAAATAATCATGTCGATTATATGAAGGCTGAAAGGGATATACTAACTAAAGTAGTTCATCCTTTCATTGTTCAGCTTCGTTATTCTTTTCAGGTACTCACTTTTGTTCTTATTTTCAGGATTTTTTTTCATTGAATCTTTGAAATCATAGCACATTTGACATTTTCATCTCGTGGTTGTTTTAGTTAAAAGATGTTTTGGTAATCTTTATTAAGCTTTTGTTCTATTGGAAGATGCTTGTCTCAATTATGAAGGGAAAGATGCAAATCATGCGAATGAGTAGTAATTCCCTTTTCAGATAAATTTGATCACAAATGACCTTATTCGCCCTCACATCATTGCAAAAGTTCCCTAGATGTCCCACAACCTTAGCTTTAACTGAAAACTTGAAGCTTGATAAAGTGTCTTCTTCCCATTCATGATGTAAAAATTACTTTAAATCTTTGATATAAGGACTGAATGAGTGCTGTATAAAAAAAAAGTCTGTTTCTTTTTTCGACTGAATGAACAATTTGAATATGAAAAAAAGAAAACCAATTATACCCTTCTATCTAAAAGCGGTGCTTATTTATTCGAGAATTTTCATAAAATGAATTTGTAAATGACCACAATAAAAAAAGTTTTAAAAAAATTAAATATTTTCTTTATTATATAATTCTCTCAAAAGATTTGGAATGCAAAAAAGCGACAAATGACTGAAATTTTGGTTATTGATTTTTTGAAAACTATGGTTTGTTTTATATGGTCCACATATTTTAAAAAGAAGACATAAAGGAAGGGTATATCAGTCATTTACACAAATGAGGGACGACTGGAATTGAATTCCATGACTTTAAGAAAAGTTAATTTCCTACTCATTTGCGACCAAACACCTGAACGGAATGGAATCGAATTCTGATTCCTACGGAAACCCTTGAACTTGATCCTTTTCATTTGTTAATTTATTAATTATACTTTTTTGGTTTCTTTTTTGTTGCAGACAAAAACGAAGCTGTATTTGATCCTGGATTTTATAAACGGAGGCCATCTTTTCTTTCACTTATACCGACAAGGAATCTTCAGGTGCACATCGATTACTTGTTTATAATAATTTATTTACACTTGAATTTTTATATAAAAAAAAATAATAATAATTAATATTGTTGAATTTGAATGTTGGGTAGTGAGGATCAAGCAAGGGTGTATACTGCTGAGATAGTATCTGCTGTTTCACATCTTCACCAGAATGGAATCGTGCACAGAGATCTTAAACCTGAAAACATACTCATGGATGCTGATGGCCATGTATGTATTTAATTAATTAATTAATTTTCTTAAAAATTAAAAATAATTATTATTTATGATTTCAGGTTATGCTGACGGATTTTGGTCTGGCAAAGGAGATTGATGAATCAAGCAGATCAAACTCAATGTGTGGGACCACAGAATACATGGCTCCTGAAATATTACTTTCTAAAGGCCATAATAAAAATGCAGATTGGTGGAGTGTTGGAATACTCTTGTATGAAATGCTAACTGGGAAGGTAAAAAATATATATATATATATATATATATATATTATTTTATTATTTTTTTATAGTTGGGTTGTAAACTTGTAATTGTAAATTTTTGTGATGATGCTATTATGTTCAGCCACCATTTACTCATTCAAACAGAAAGAAACTTCAGGAGAAGATCATCAATGAAAAAGTGAAGCTCTTACCACGATTAAGTGGTGAAGCTCACTCTTTGCTCAAAGGAGTAAGTGAAGCTATAATTTATAATTTGGTAAATTTTTCATAATACAATTAAAAATATATGTTTTGTTTTGTTTTGTTTTGTGTAGTTGTTGCAGAAGGATCCTTTAATGAGGTTGGGAAGTGGAGCGAGAGGAGGTGATGATATTAAAAGCCATAAATGGTTTCGAACAATAAACTGGAAGAAATTGGAGTTGAGAGAGTTGCAACCCAAGTTCAAGCCAGATATCAGTGGAGAAGATTGCACTGAAAATTTTGACAAATGTTGGACAGGAATGCCCCTGGATGACTCACCAGCTCCTACACCAACAGCGGGTGAACATTTCCATGGTTACACCTACGTGGCACCTAACCCTTGGCTTTCTTCTCCTCCTAACCAACCCACCCCCTCAAGATATGTAAATTTGTCGATTTGCCCCCTTCTTGATTTCTTCTAATAATGAACATGAAGATGCAAGTGGCATGTATTCGTTTCATCATGTGGATTGATGTCGTTATGGAATCTTTTATCTTTAGACTTTTCTTTTAATCAGAGTTGTCCCACATGCTTGTATTTAAATATACGTAATTCATAAGTGTAATTCAACAAAAACAATTAATTAATCAATTTACTCCCCAATCCACTCAAATCTTGTTAAGATATGTTTGATCTACATCTCCATGTGAAGTTGCCTAGAAATTAAAACAAATAGTACGAGGAGTGGTTGAACAACTCAAAACTTGGTCGCTTTTAATCTTGTAGAATTTCCTTTGTGGATTTCAAGATTCTATGGACTTTAGTTTCTTTTTGGTACTTGGCTTTTCTTTGATTTTATAAATTGTTATTCATCTTGGATATTTTTTAGTCAAGCTAGTGAAAATGATATTAAGAATATCATTAAAAAGATAGAGCAACATCAAATTTAACCAAAAACTATGTATACACTAATAATGCGAATCATTGCAAGTCGTGTAAACGTGTGTTTAGACTTTAGACTAGCCACAAAGACACGAGGTTTATCAATTGAAATTGTAAACCCAAAATATGTACTTTGGGTCATTTTTTAAATCTTCTACTGTTTTAGTTTTTCAAAGATAAATAAATGTGTACTTTTATAAATGTTAGTATTATGAATCTGATGCCTAAATAGCCTAGAAACGAGAGAAATTGTAATTTTGAGGGGTGAAAGCTGTAAAGTGTTTTATTTATTTATTTATAAATGAAATTGTTCCAAGTGGGAAGTCATTGGTTAAAAAAGGCTTCGTAGGTGTCCCAGCTGTTCTTGGTTACAAGATAAAGAGATAAGATTTGAGACTCAACTTTTGAAAATAAAGTAAACCAAAACTTACTTTCCATAGGCATTGTGATAACAAAAGTCAATAAAATACATTTTTGCTTATTTCTTAAATATCTAAAACACTACTAAGAATAATGCTAATATCAGCAACCACCCACGTAAAGATGAAAATGGCACAAAACAAAAAAAATCAACCAAGAACCACCATTAACTTAAAGTTATATGGTCCTACCACTCTCATCTTGCCACCATTGAATCAGGACACACCCCTACCCCTATACACCTAGATCTCATCCTCATTCATTCATAATTTCATATTCTAATTCCCATCATACAAATCCAACTTTTGATCTAATCTCATTCAATAGTTATGATTAATTTTCAAAATTAGATTATCAGGCTCATTTTTAGTTTTTGTATATTTAGTCTTTATTGTTTTTTTTTACAAAATAAATCATTGATCATGTTGTTTTCATACATGTTCAATCATTATGATAAAGCCTGAAAAAATGATTTAATATGGTATTTGTATAGTTCTCAAAATATATATATATATATATATATATATATATATATATATATATATAATGTTTTTTTTATTGCAAAATAAATCTTTCACTGTTTATAGTTGATTTTTTTAGTTTTTCTCATGTGATTGCTTCCTCTCTACTCGAATTTGCATTTCCAAAATAAAATAAACCAAAACTTACTTTCCTATGTTGGATATTTAAGAAATAAGCAAAAATGTATTTTACTGATAACAAACAATAAGATTCTTTATGATTGTTTCAAATTTGTATTTCCAAGAAAAAAGAACACCCTAAAGTCTTCCCTAATTATTTGGTATGAGTTTGACAATTTTTTTCTACAAATAGGTTTTTTTTTCTTTTCAAATTAACCTTCCTTTTTACCCGCTTAAAATTTGTTTTTTGTTACCAAAGAAACAAAAAAGTGCAAATTTTGGCAATTGATTGATGAAAAACATATAAAATTGAATTTGAGTTTTGAAGATGAGTTTACAACTATTAAAGATGAGATTTATTATCTCAGAAGAAAGTGAAGGAGCTGAAGAACTCACGTAATGATAGCTTCTATGATGATATTAAAACTATAATGTTATTAATCTGCCTCTATTAATTGGTATTTATATGATCTCATTACCCAACCAAAACAAAGAAAAGTAAAACATGATTCCACACCACAAAATAAGTTGAATCATACGGATGCAAAAACCAAATCACCACTGGGATTTTTTTTTTGGCAACCGCATCAAATTAAATTGACAATTTGGCCGTTCATATATTTTTAGAATCAGAGAATATACGCTTTCCTTTTATATGTCGGTTGCTTTTAATTTCTTGGATTTGTATTCAAAGCGTTGGATTTTAACAAGATGTAAGTAGTGTTTTTCAAAACATTACTTGCATAACATAATGGATGATATGAAATATGATGACTGATGAGTATGCATACAACAACGATAATTATAACAAACATGATGATAATTTAAGGAAATCCTGGTCTGTACATGATAAAGTATTAGATTAAAATAAATAAAAATTAAAAAAACACTAACTACCTGCAGATTTCACTTCATTTGCAGATGTTTAACCAACACTGATCATACGATCTCCATTGTTGAAGGGTGAGATGACCTGGAACGCGGAAGAATCCACCATTCGATTGTTATCATAAGACAGAGAGAGGTTGAGAGATAATGACAATGAATTTTTTTCATTTGTCCTTGTTGATTGATTGAATTGACCACCATTACAGAAAGCTTCGGTTTTCATCTGGTTCTCCATTAATGGTAGTGGTGATGGAGGTGAAAAAGCTGCCATTGGGAATCCACTTAGAGGAGATATTTGCTGACTCTTGTTATCTTCATCATCTTTCTGTTCTTCCACTGGGATAGCTGCAACCTAATCATCATCATCCGCAAAACCAATTGATTACTATTATAAACAGTTGATATGCTAGGAGTGACACAAGTGATTAATGATTTACAGAATTAGATTCAGATCTGTTATGTGATGAGACTCACTGAATCAGTAGTGATATCAAAGAGACTGGACCTCTGGCGCCGGCGGTTGAGGTTGCTCCGGCGGAGGAAATATTTCTGAGCATGGCTTGCGACTTGAGTAGGTGTACGTGTCTTCACAAAGTTCCTTGAAATCCCCCTCCAGTCTCCTTTCCCTACCTTCTGCAGACCTAACAGAAACAGCTTGTGTTCTTCCTCCGTCCATGGAACCCCTGTTTTTTCAATTATAATAGAATCAGATATTATGAGATACTGAAATTGCTCGCAACAAGAAAAATCAATTTCCAATTTCAGAGATGCAAAATCGTAATCCTTCGCTAACAATAGGAGAATCCAATACAAACGCTAACTCAATCAAATGCGAAAAAGAAGCGCAGAAACGGATAAGCAATAGATAAATCGAAGATGTAAGAGATATTGAAAAAGCGAGATCTAACCTCGTTTGCGCTCTCGTCCACCATTGGATTGGTTGCGGACAGCATCATCAGCGGAGGCGTAACCAGTTTCGCCGGCAACCGCGGTGGAGCCATCAAAGTTATTATTACTATTGCTAGACGAACCATGTGTAGCAGGCTGTATCTGTACGTACTGTGAGAGATCGTTCATACTCACACTCTTCCTCATCGGATCAACCTTGACTCTGACTCCGAACAACATGATCTCACCGGAGCCAGCATCGCCGGAGTTCTGACCGTTCATCGAGTGTGATTCTGACATCATCCTCAACTCAACCAAAAATCAATCAATCAATCCGATTGCGACCTACCAAATCCAAAAACCGAATCTACAACAACGATGAAAATATGTTGGAAATTAATGCCGAGTTCACCGGATAATCTTTAATCTTATCTGTGGGAAGGTCGGGTGAGGGAATCAGATGGCCGTACACAGGGTTTTATTTGTTTTATCGGTGGAGAACAGATGCATTCTGCATATGATAACGATATTGGGGTTTGGATGGGTAGGTCTAGGTGGGATATATATAATTATTATATAAAATGCTAAAATTGACAGGTGGGTTCCATTATCCATGTGGTTATAGCGTTCATACACGTGGCAACCTATGCTACGATGCTTATTTGTCCGCGAATCACACTCCTTCAGCTTCAATACGACCATGCTGTAAAGTCAAAGTCAAACCAACGTTTCTCATGCTTAGCTGTTTTTTAAGGTAAATAAATAGATTGTAACTAATGCATTCAAGAATATTGATTATTTTAGTAGTTAATGGATATCATATTTAATGTTATAGTATTATGTAGTATTGTAGTAAATAGGTAATACATTAAAACTTTTAATATTATATTTTGGGGATTTAGATTTTTTAAGTTTTATACTATTTGGTCATATGGAAAGAAAATTATTATATTACGTTTTAGCGAAAAAACATTAAAAAAAAAAAAAAAAAAAAAAAAAAAAAAAAAAATCGCGACTGTTAAAGAAAAGATGAAAGGCCTTACATATATAAGGTCACTTTCAAGCTATTTTTTCTCCCTCATCGTCAACTTCCCTCAAAATATCTCGGCAATATGCTCATTTCGCCCTAGTAATTGATTCCATAAGAACTTTGTAGATCCAAAATCATTTTGAGAAATTGTTGTTCGGTTACGGTGCCTTTTCTAGATAAATCATTAAGTTTGTTATTCGGTTGGTTTTTTTTATTTCGGTTTAATCAGTTCGTTTATTGGTTTTTCAGTTTTATCGGTTTTTTATAACTTAAAATCAACTATAACCAAACCAAAAAATATTCGGTTTAGTCGGTTTTGAATAATTTGGTTACGGTTTATTCGGTTTGGTTTACCTATTAGACCGAATAAAATTTCACATGTAAAAATAAATATTAAACTAAAAGTAAAAAAAAAATTACTGAAGTTTTAATTTAAAAAAAAAAAGAAACCTAATACATAACATATTATATTTAGTCTTTAAAAAATATGTTGTTTTGAAATATCGATTGTAAAAGCGAGTTAATATAGTTTTAGTCGTATATAAATATAATAGAAATAATCAAAGGTTAATTGACATTTTACTAATTAGTTGTTGCTTTTAAAAACAAGATATAAATAATTATAAATTTATAATGGTTAATAATTAAATAATGAGGCATGCAAATCTTTTTTATTAACTAATCTATCTATTTAAATATAAAATATTAATTGATTGATATAAACTATAAAAATATATCAATTAAATAGTTTATTGGACTTTTTAGTTTATCCAAAATAATAAAAATTTAATCAAAATCAAACCAAATATGGTGTCGTTTTTCCATTAACTAAACCAAATATACAAAATCATTTGATTCAGTTCAGTTTCTGTTTTTTATCTGAACCAATAAATAACAAATTAATCTATCATCATTAATGATTAATTAATTAATATTTATTTGACAAATAACAAAATTAATTAAACTAATTAATTGTTTATATATGTTATATTAGTTATTAGTTAATTTCACTTATTTTGACAAATAACAAATTAATTTATCTAATTAATTGTTTTTGTTTTTCTTAGTTGGCCAAATATGTAACATATATCTTTCATGCAATTATTATATCAACTAGTTTATAACCTGTGGAAACCACGGTTACAAAATTAATTAAACTATTATAGTGAGAACTCAAAATTATCAATCAATTATTTCAAATAAATTATTAATTAAGAGATATTTTTTAGTTATATAAAATTATAATCGTTAATTTAAATAAATATGTGAAATTATATCACTTTATAATTTGTATTAATTTTAATCTAATTTTTATTCTAATGTAATTAAATTGATGTAATTAGAGTGGAAAATTTAAAATTTAAAATTTAAAATTAAGAAGTAATAGGTTGATAAGTGATATGTATTAATGAATAAGTCTAATAGGGTGACACATGGCAAAAGTAGACTAAAATATGCATTAATTATGAGGCTTAATAGAATGACACACGTTAAAAGAAAATTAAAATTATTCTTTTATTAGAATAGGGACTAGTGTAGGTGCTCATGCTTTGCATGGGTTGGAACGGTGTTTGTTTTATTACATTGTAACATGTCAAAGTCAGATACTTGATCACGCTCTTTTAACCATCCCCTTAAAGATGAATTGCTAGACCAAACCTGATTAAAAGATAAAAGGGTATAGAAATAAGAAGAAAAGTACCCCATTAAAGCATTTGCATTTATTTATTAAAAAATCTCAAAGACCTGCTCGTAAAAAATATCATCCATTATTCTAACGGCTTGAATGAGTAAAACTAAAGCTTCCTTGTCCTCCTTGAAGAAACCTGTCAACTGTCATACAAGAATTCGATTAAATTTCTTTATTCAAATTATAGAATAGTAAAAATAAAGAGATGGAGGGAAAAAACATATTAACATACATATGCATCAAGTACAATCTTCTATCTTATGACTCACTTTGGCATTGAGAAAAACATGACTTTACAAACTTTCTTCCTCTTTTTGGTGAATAGAACAAAATGACATCAAAGCTGTAAGCATCTCAACCCTGAAAAGCTAAACAAATGAAAACATTCAACTACATATGTTACTCTTTGAGTCTTTGTAAAATGAAACTGTAAAAACAAACCAAGAACTTTGCAAGGAATTCTTTTGGATTCACTTTGCAATGATTCCAATGTCTACATGGATCAGGAGATGGTGAGTAATATGTCATCTCTTCAATTTTCATGACAACACGGACAATTTCTTTTTTTCCTTTATCTTTAGCAAATTTCTCTTCACTCACGCTAAACAATCTCTTTGTGACATTATTTTTGTGTTGTGTGCCAAGCTCATGATTCTTGATGCTTGAAGGATTATTGGATATGAAGATTTTGCACAAGCCACACCATTTTTTCCCCTAACTAACCCAATACTTATATACAAAGATATCATATGTCAGTGAGATAGTAGAGGATATTTTAATTTATATGCTCAAAGTATGATCACAACAAAAAAGAAACCCAACATTACAGAATCATGGAGCAGATATGTACTATTTAAACTTTTACATTAAATCAAATATATAAAAACCATGGCCAATGATAAAGTATTTTAAGAGACCCAAAAACTCTCATTGAGAACTCAACCCATTCCAGTTTAGTTTAATGAAATATATCTTCTTCAGTATAGATCCCACCTTCTCTCCCACTGATTTGTGGTTTGGAAGGTTCATTACAGTTTGCTCCATTTATCTAACATGAATTGTCATCTTTTCTTTAGTTGCTTGGTACTTTATCTTATCATTAGCAACAACACTGTCCATGGAAAGGATTATGATTGCATATAATCAAGGCATATACTAATCAGAAACGATTATACTATGTTTATATAAAAAAAAAATATAAGACCCTCGATCAATTAAAATTGATTTGGTAGAATCCTTTAAAATCGGTGTGGGAGATAATATGGTGCCTTAGTTATTGTTGCAAGTCAAATCTGCTACCAGACATGTTGGTATTGCAGAATCCAATTTGTGAACTCAAAAGCCCATGAAGGTTGTTCTTGAACGAAGAACACCAGTTGACGTATTTAAGTGCTTTCATCGAACACTTGGCGTGCAATCTTTCAAACTCCACCTCCAGACACAACTTCTTTGTGGAAGGACCTAAATTTCGATTCAAATCAACAGACCAAATACAATTTTAAAAAAAATCAGATTAGTTATCAGATTGGAGATCAAAAAACTGGAGGCGCCAAAAAAGGAAGCGAGCAGCAGAAGAGCATCTGATTGGAAGAAAGGAGGCGGTGAGTCGTGCACTACCCACTAATGTTGGTGATTTTGAAATCCTGAAAACATTCCTCAAATCAAAGGCAAAACCAAGTTGTGAAATCGGAGGGTGAAATCATTTTACAGGTGGTAGGAAGCAGCTGGAAAACCAACTGATGAAAAAGGTTGCTTATATCGTCAAAGTTGAAGTCGGCGATAGTAGCGACTTGACCGGAAGATCTATGAGATTACTGACCTCCCCACCAGAAAATCACTGGAATATCTTTGAGGTCACCAACGTTGCCAGCAGAAATCAAGTAGAAACCATTCTTTGATGTTCTTCCCCAATCATCATTTTTGGCATCGATTGATCCAGGATAAAGTCGGTGTATCGGTGACCGATTAAAGAAACATTGGTTGAATTAAGTAACTCGATGAACAGTACCTCGGGGTATGTACTATTCATAAGGATGTTTGAAAAATTATATATATAATAATAACATGTTGTGACATTACACATATATCCAACTGTTATCATATTGACGTTTTTATAAATTGTCCCAAATGTATAATTGTTTTTATTTTATTATGGAATAATTGGTGTATCTTGTAGGTAGGAACATTAGTGATCATCTATTTAAAATTAACGAATTATATAGATAGGCATAGAAAGTTAGACGAAAGATAATGCTTTTAGATAATTTATTCTTTTATAAAAAAATATTTGATCAATTCTGTCTTTATCGATTTTGTCATGGATGGGTTTTAAGGGTCAATGAATAGGTTATATGGATTCAAGAAGACCTAACCAAGACACGTACCTTAATACATGTAAATGGAAACCCCATGAAAGAGTTCGAGATTTAAAAGGGGGTTATGTTTGATGACCCCTTATCACATTTCTCTTTTATCCTACATATAAAGAGGTTGCATGCGACATTGGTCACATCATTTTTGATGGGTTTAAGGTAAAACAAATAAACTTGAAAAATAATTCCTAAGTTCACATGCAACCTACTTTGGATCTATGTTTTAACTATTGAACATATAACTTTGAATTGCAAAACAAGAACCCTAAGGAAAGAGGCTATTTTTGAAATTAACCAATTAGGGTTTAAGATTTACATACATTTCAATTGTTATAGCAAAAAATTGGTAACCCTTTTGATCTTGATCTTCTTCGAATCTTAGCACCACAAATGTAATGCCTCTAATGCAGTCACACCCAAAAGCTAGCAAGAAGGAAACTTGGAGGAGAGAGAGAGAGTAGGCTATGCAATTTTTGGCCCCTAGGGTTTCTTCAAGGAAGGAGTGACCGATTTTAGGTGCCAGGAGGCTCCTTATATAGCTGAAGGATCTAGGGTTAAGGGAAACCCTTATGTTCCTTTTCTTGGGGCATAAGCTTATCCAAAGGGCTTATCCAAGCCCCTTGGATGATATCATTAGGGTTTCCCCTATAGATTTCGTCCACCCCCTTCCAAGGAGGTTCTGGAACCTTCCACTCAACTATTTGATAATTGCAAACCAGTC